AGAGGAGCGCAGAAGAACGTCGCACTGCTGCCGGTCACTAGCGATGCGGCTTCTGTGTGCAAGGGGTGGGTAGAATGGTAACGATGGAGTACGTAGGCGGCGAGAGGCTTGGTTGCTGAGTTTTGTGTTTCTCTCTCTCTCTTTCTGCTCCGATGCAGGTTTTCTAGGGCAGCCTTATGGATTGGGACCACTTCCTTTATGATCCTGGTTCTTCCTGTTGTCTTTGAGACTGAGAAGTTGCAAATGGAGCAGCAGCAGCAACTGCAACAGCGGCAGGTGAGCCGGAATCCTGGCTTTTGGCCAGTAATGGAGACACAACCGGTTTATTTCCCCAGCAACTGGGTAATGTGTGGGAAGGATTTGGGACTGGGACCAGGCTCTTTTAAATACTTGGCTGTGCTCTCAGCATTGTTTTTGTCAACCTTGTCTGCCCCATCCAGAATGGTGTAAATGACATCTTGATCCACCCACTGCCTGAGTCATTTCTGACTATGTGACCCTGTAGAACAGTAGAATTGCTCCTTAGGATTTGGTGGTGGCCTTAGGACTTGGTGGTGGTAATGCGCCGTGGAGTCGCAACCGACTCATAGAGACCCTGTACAGGGTTTCTGAGGCTGTAAATCTTTACGGGAGCAGAAAGCCTCATCTTTCTCTTGCAGAACAGCTGGTAGTTTCGAACTGCTGACTTTTAAGGTTCGCATCTCGATTCGTAACCACTATACTACCAGAGCTCCTTAGGACTTGTTAAGTGCTGTCGAGTCGGATCCGACCCATAGAGACCCTATACAGGGTTTCCGAGCAGCGACTGGTGAGCTTGAACCACCGACCTTGCAGTTCAAACGGATTTGCAGTCAGGTGCATTAACCCACAGCGCCACACCAGGACTCCCCTTAGGGCTTAGGAGGCTGTAAATCTTTATGGAAGCAAACCAACTCATCTTTATCACAAGGAGCGAGCAGGTCGAGGGTTTGAACTGCCAGTCTTGCAGTAAGCTGCCTAACACTTCATCCACTGTGTCACCAAAGCTCCTTAAAGGCCATCTTTCTTGTTAGTGCTGTTGAGTCAGTTCCAACTTGTTTTTGTTGTTAAATGCCATCAAGTCGGTTTGGACTCGTAGCGATGCTGTATAGGGTTTCCAAGGAGTGACTGCTGAGTTTGAGCCACCCACCTTGCAATTCAAACCAACCTTGCAGCCCAGTGCATTATCCTGCAGCGCCACACCAACTCATAGCAACCCTGTATAGGGTTTCCAAAGACAGCTAATGCGTTTGAACTGCTGACCTTACAGTTAGCAGCCCAGTGGCTATCCTACAGCACCACACCAGACCTGTACAATTCCCTAACTCCCCTCCTTTTTTTTTTTTACAGATACTTCTAGGGCCAAACACAGGACTATCAGGAGGAATGCCAGGGGCTCTACCTTCGCTTCCAGGAAAAATCTAGATTACTGCTGGTTTTGAACTGTCTTGGTGGGAGAAGTTTGAAATTCAGTAACGTTGGAACTGCTGATTATTTGGATTTTTTTTTTTTTTTAACTGTTGTCACGTGATTCTAAAACTGCTGGGGAGAATTCTTCCTCCTTTGTCTGACTCCCAGCTGTCAACTGTGTCCTCCCCGCCATCCTGACATTTATTGCCTTCACTCTGACATCAGAGTGCAGCAGTGTAGACGGTTGTTCACCACCCAAGCCCCTCCCTAAATTGTCCTGTTGTTCTAGAAGACCCCCTCCATTGTGGAGTTGTGAGTTGGGAATGGGTGCCAGTAGGAAGACTGTACCCCTGATGACTGTTAGTAACTTGTTTTTAGGATGGAGCTGTTGGGAGGCATGTGCACACAGTATGAAACATGAACTACCGCCCAACTGCAGTGTAAAACCGCCACTGTGTACCCGGGTGTGCTGGTCGGGGATGGGGTCCAGCAGCCGGGCCACAGGGTGGAGACTGAGGGATAGAGAATCTCGGTTCCTCTGCATTTTGGCTGTTAAACTTGTGTGTGTATAAAAAACTGTCCGTGCTCCCTTTTTGTATTTAAATATTTAAAAAATTATTCAAACTCAAAGTAAGCGTTTGTGAGACAAACCACAATGTTGCTTAAACCAGCAATGGCGACTTGACTTTTTCCACAAGACTTGGGACTTCTGCCTCTCTCACCGCTCACCTAAGCCAGCACCACCAACTTCACATGACTGGCCCCTGAGGCCCAAGTTAGTGACATTTCCAAATTTAATGTTTTCAAGGAACTTCACTTTTAGCCAAGAACCTCTTCATGGTAATGTTTGCCCAGTATTCAGGCAGATAATCCCTTGATACAATCAACTGAAAGGCTTGGGTCTGTGTCTATGATGACACTGTGCAACTATAAATTAGTATGAGTGATACAGTACTGATTCATAATCTGAGGGCGGGAGGAATTAACTAGGAATAAACCTAGTTTATTTAATTGCTAAAGTGACCCCGATATCCAACTGTAGCCCTGATTTTTGCAACCTATTTAACAATATGCATTGTGCATTGGTGCCGAGGTCTGGTGTGATACTGTAGAGTAAGCACTGGACTGCTGCCAGGTTGGTTCAAACCCTCCAGCTGCTTCTTGGAAACCCTATAAAGGGTCAGAGTCAGCACTGACTTAACTGCAGTTAACATTGGTGCCAACAGTACTAAGCCTACATGGCTAATCTGTCAGGACGGTACATTTCAGGAAGCAGTAGTTAGATTTTAAGGAGGAAATAGCCACAGAGAGGTTGCTAGGTACTGAATCTGAATCCAGATGGGCGGACCACAGAACCGTGACTCCTGGGTTCTGGTCGGGGACAATCTAGGCCTTCTATCAGCTGCATGATGTTCCGCTTGGTTCTAGGAATCACCATCGAGAGCCGGTCGTCTTGGAGGTGGGGTCTTCAAACTCGAGTCTCATTTTAAAAAATAAAAGTAAACTGGAAAATACCCCAGGGATTTCTTTAGAACCAAAATCATTTTGTCTGGGTTTTTCCACTGAGGTTTGATGAAGTACAAAGTCTATAAAAGATGACTGATTCTGGTAGTGAATTCTTTTTAAAGCAGCATGACACTAATGATTATTATTTTTTCTTTACATAATTCAGGCAGACAAGGAAGGAGATGCACGTATGGAGTTTTTCATTTTTAATGTTTGGTTAAACAAAATACATCTTTTGTAAACAAACCCAGCACAAGGCCAACAACAAAAAGGGAATAAAAGCAAGAAAAACAAAAAGCCGAGGGTTGCCCCTTACTGGGCATCAGGGTTGGGCCTGCTCCTTCCTTCAAGGAAGGGGAGCTTTTGGCCCTTGGGCATCAACATGGGTCCCTGTTCCTAAGCACCAGAATCGGAGATGAACAGAGAAACCAGCCCTGAAATGCTGAGGCGTCTTTGCATAGTCCATTGGCTCGTGGACTCCCAGTGCACGGGGCTCCTTGGAAGTGCCATCTACACAGGCCCGAGCAGGTGTGTGGAGAGGAGTGTTTCCTCCTCTGTCTAGGAAATGGCTTACTTTCACGGGCCATACCAATGGACTTGAGGTCCTGCCTGTGAGAATCAGCAAGGTTGGCTGTAACTTCTGGCTGGTGCTGGTTGGAATGTCATTGTGCAAGGGGTTTGGGGGGAGGGGGCGCTCCCTGTGGTGCCAAGCAGGTCTGGTGTACAAAATGTTAAGGAAGAGACGACGGCCAGTTGCTGGGAAGGCGTAATGCAGTAGCCGCTTGGTGGCTTCTGTTACTCAGCATAAAAACGGCCTCGTTGGATTGAAGATACATGTGCAGAAAAAGTGCTGGTGTAAACATGCACTCCAGTCACAGTGAGGAGACAGCCTCAGCTCCGTCCCGGGAAGCTGGCTTGGGCTCCACGCACAAACCCCAGGCTGGCTCTGCAGCTGCTGACGAGGACAAGTCTAGCCAGCGGGGCAGCTCCCAGACCTGGCAAGACCACTGATGTGTGAGGACTGGACAGGTCCTCCTGGCCAGCCCACCCATCTGAGGCAACCACACCATGGTGACAGATGGTACTTAACTTCCCCTCCTCTTTTGTTTTCCAAAGTTACAGGACAAGTGGCCTACAACTCCTTAAGAGGTAGGAGGGGGTCAAATCTCTGTAAAGGAAACTCCAGAGAGGTGACAAATCCAGCTCCTACCACGCAGTGCACGTAACTATCCAGCGTCAGGGCTCTCTGCCTGTCATTCTGGTGACAAACAGATCTGCTCTTAAACTCTAAGAGCTATCTTCAGAATACTTGGCTTAGCACAGAATTTGCTGAAAGGCAGCCTTATTTTTTTCCCCGATTTTGCCAAAGTGGGTAAACAGGAATTAATGTAGTGAAATGGTCGGAACAAAACTGGAGTGAGCTATTGAGAACCAGCCACTCCACGCCTGCCCCAGTTCAGCTTTTGCTCTATGTCCTCTTAGGTATTGAGCTCATCCCTGTCACACAACCAGCCAGCTTAGAGTCTAAAACACCAAGGATGGCCAGCAAGTGCCCTTAATCATGGAAGGGGTCCCATTAAGGGATAGAGAGGGGGTGCCATTAAGGGTTGGAGACAGCATGCCATCCTGCCGCTAGGGTTTTAGAGATGAGTTCCTGAGAGACTCCAATGCTCTACCTAGGTCCTTCAAACTGGCCACATGGGCTTTACACAAACTGTCTGCAGACCTACTGGCTTGCCAGGAAAGGGACAGTGGAGGGCAGCAGCACCTCCAGGTGAGTTTGGAGCAGCAGTGATGGGTGGGCTCCAGCAGAACCTGTGCCAAGTCCTCAAAAGAAAATTAACTAGGACCCACCAGTCTTTCTCTTAAAAGCAGGGAATTCGATGGCTTGTCCTAAGCACACAGAGTTCCTACCTTCCTTTCCCAGAACAAATAACGCTGCTGCTGGTGCTTCTAATAAATAGTCTGTCCTATTGCACTGTCAAATCTGAGGGGAAAAAAACCCAACGAGATGTCTGAGGGAGTGGCAAGCCCACTGAATAGGCCGCAGCGCATTGTCCTGGAGGCTGACAGGGCTGAGGTGTGGGGAGGGTGGGCAGGACCTCATTATACATCCGCCCTCCAACTCTGGAGGGCCTCCACCTCTTCTCGTACCACCAGCAGGAGTTCACAGTTCTTTCCTCGCAAGTGATATTTTAGAAATTTCCTAAGGAAAAAAGGCAGATGAAACAGAAAATGAAATGCTGGTAGAACTGCAACTTCCATACTTGGGGCCACATATTCAGTAGAAAGGTCACTATGTCTACCCTTGATCTACTAAACACACTCTCGAAGTATACCTCTTCATGGAGGGCTCTGCATTCGGTTCACTCTCAGTCTGTCCAGTTAGATTTCCAATTTGAATGTCTGCTGACCATAACTGGTTCTGTGATGATAAGAGCCCTAAGTACTCTAGAGTAAAGGAATTCTAATTATGATTTTTTTTTTTTTTTTTTTAAGTTTCCTCTTTGGTCAGAGGGAAAGAGTCTTTTCTGGTCTGAATGTGTCTTCCTTCCTCTGAACTGGCAAGTATCCTGATGCAGTTGTGTAAATGTGCAGAACGTTACAATGCTCGCCCCACAAGACCCGGAGCCCATGGATCTTTCCCAACTGAAGGGACTTAACATCCTGATGGTCTAGCCAAGATTAAGGTCTTCCAAGTAAGAGAACCTATGAGTCTAAGCAAGGCAAGGAGAGGATTCAAGGAGATAGGAGACCATTAGTGGCTCTCCTTTGTTAACCAAAAATGAGCTCAACTTCCCCAGAATGCACAGAAGCCACCACAGATTACCTGAGCTCGCTCTCGCCTCCAATCCACTCAGGCATCTTGAGTTTGGAGTCGAGGTTGTAGTAGGCACCTCCCACCTCTCGAACGCAGAGCCAGTGCTGCCTTTTGAGAGGCAACTTCAGCGGACCCCAGCACAGGCTGGAGGGCAGATTCAGGATGAAGCCCATGACGTTAGTGAGAGCTATGACACCAACATCCCTGACGAGAAGGAATGACGTTAGGTTCGGAAACAGTCCATCGCCCAGATTCCCCTGTTGCACACTGGGGGTTTATGTGCTGGACTGCAAAGTTGGTTTGAACCATGAGGTCGGTGGTTCAAGCTCACCAGCCGCTCCTCAGAAACCCTATAAGGGTCACTATGGGTCAGAACTGATATGACGGCCCTCAACAACAACAACAATGCCATACAAGCAGCCACTCCCTACTCCTGCCCCACATTCCAGTACTAAGGGTTTGTGCCACAACACCACTGTCCTCCATCACGTACGTCAAGCCTGACTCCAATTACCTGCGCTTATCCCACCACACAGCTTCATAGCCTTTGGTCTGAAGGGCGGCCATGATGACGTTGACATCGTAGTTTCCATTTCCCAGCATGCTCTTCTTGTGGGGTGTCACCATAGTGTTTGGCGACAACCTAAACATGTGATGAGAGAGAGCAGAGACTTACTGGTCCATCCTGCACTTGCAGGACAGAGAGTGCTTACCACTGTGTCTGTAGGCTTGCTTCCCCTCATTCAGATGCCATTCAACCAATTCTTACCACAGTAGTTTGTAAGTCTGCTCCAGCTCTCTTTGAACCTTTTTTTTTTTTAAAGCCAAATGCCTCAGTGCAGGGGGATTTGCCTGCCTGCCTGCCTGCCGCTTAGCTAGCACAGTGCAGTGCTGAGGGAGTCTCCTTGTGCAATCTCCAGCCGCCCTGTTTCCACAGCTTCTTCCCCTGTTGCTAAACTTCCTGCCTAGATACAAGTCTTTTTTAAGGCTGGAAAATAGCACTTGATCTTGTCATTTGCATGGGTAGTACTTAGCATTTTTTTGTTTTTTATAGTTTTAAGTGCTTTGTATTTAAGGCTTATGCACTTGTAACATGAATTATTTAACACTCAGACGTCTGCAGGGGACACAGACAGGTAACATTACTATAAACTGAGGCCAGAGGAAGTCAAAGACTGGTGAGGCCTATGTTAACTGAAATGCAGGACCCGCCCAGAGGCATTCCAAACATGCATGAGAGATGGCATCTTAGAAAATCACACGCACACACACAACATCAATTAGAAAAAACCTTGGGTACCTAACAAACAAAATTTAACTGCAGTCCTGCCTATACGGCATTAAGCCAGGCTTCACCAAGTCCCTTCATCTCAGGTCCAAGACAGCAACTCTTAAAACTTAAGGTATCTATAGACGTGTTTAAGTTTCTCTACACACAGCCACTAGAGTGGTGCTTCTAAATACACGACATACTCCTCCTGCCACTCCCTAAAACCCTCCGGTGGTTCCCAAAGCCTGTAAATAGAAGCTCGACTCTTCTCCTGGCTGACACAGCCCTCGGGAAGCCTGCTGACTCATCTGTCACCTCTTACACGCACTGGCCTCGCTCCTAGTTCCTGAACACACAGAGCTCATCGTCACCTCTGCATTCACTGACTGCTCCCACCATCTGGAATGCCCCTCCCTAGACCTCCACTGGGTTAGCACCTTCCGTATTAGCTGAATCTCATATGTTACCTTCCTCTTTTAGAGAGCCCCTTCCTGACCACATCAACTTGTCTTAATTACAGCCCTTGTTACTAGCAGACATGTCTTCCCATGTCCACACAGGAGCCACAGTAAGAGCTCTGTCTACCTCGTTACCACTGACTGACCAGTACATGAAGACAATGCTTGCTGAAATGTTCATGTTTACACTGTGTCATCCTCTTTCCCTATAAATGACAGTCAGCCCTTAAAATGAAAAAGATGTACTTTTCTCCACAGCTAGCAAGGAAGGAGGACTGAGAACATTAAAATCCACTCTGCAACCAAATTTTACCTGTAACAATAGCTACCACTCAAGACCTCTGCACCAAGCAGATGTTTTCATATGTATGAGGATGAGTCAAAAAGTATTGCTACAAAAAAAATCTTAGAACTTTTACTCAATGAAGATAATCAAAATGTGAAGCTGGTTCTCGACATATCCCCCCCTCTAGGTCTGTATACTTCGGAAGGCGGTATTTCCATCTCTCGAACCCTCCCACACTCTTTAATTTACATGATGCCTAAACAGCAGTTGTAGCATCCTCAAGGGACTCGAGTTATGTTCTTTTTAAATGCTCTCTGAGTCTGGGAAACAAAAGGAAGTCTGAAGGGGAAGGTCAGAGCTGTAAACATGAATGGGACACAGTTTCCCAATGAAGTTATTGTAGGACAGCCCTTGTCACCCTTCAAGAATGAGAAGGTAAGCTGTCATGATGGGGGGGAGGTGGAAATTCCTTGTACAACATTCCTGGCCTTTCTCTCACCGATGCAGTTTCCAATTTTCTTAAGACTTTTTCATAATAAACCTCATGATCGTCCTGTATTCAAGAAAATCAATCAAGATTACCCCTTGGGAGTCCTCCAAACCAGTTGCCATAACTTTCTGTGCAGACTTCGCTGCCTTGAATTTAACTGAGTCCCCCAGCAGAGTCCCTCAGAAGCCACTGTTCTGATTAGACCTCACTCTCTGGAGCTTATTGATAAATCTAAGACTCATCCCTGGTTATGATTCTCCATAAAATGATCTTCATTAGCTTCAATCTTGCTTTAAAAACTGATGGGAAAATCAGTGCTTCGAGCTTGCTGTCTTTGCACAATCATTTTTTTCCATGGCACAAAATGTATTCTTATTTTTGAAGGAACTCTAATGAAGTTAAGACAAGTGTTAGTACTGAGAGAGCTTGTCTGCAGCCATCCACTGATAACAGAGACAGGTTTAAACCTGTTTGGCGTTGAATAAACTGATGTGAGAATGAACTAGAAACCTAGTAGCCATACTTTGTGACTTACCCTTGGCTTCTCATTTACTCCTTACAATAAACCTAGAAGAGTAGGAATTCTTTCCATTTTATGGATGCAAAACTTGAGGTTTGGTAACATTAAGTACCATGCTCTTCTTTAATCACTTACTTTACAGGTCAGGACTAGGAGCAAACTAAGCTTCACTGGTCTTCACAGTTGTGTTTTTTTGGCTATGGTGAGGACCCAGGAACCAGAGTGGGTGGGGGTGGCAGGTTGATAAGGGAAAAGGCCACAAGTAACTATTGAGTCTCTGGGAAATACGCCTAAAAAGAGTAGTTAATAGGACAAAGGCCCGCAGTGGGTTCTTGGCCACTTGGATTAAATGAGAAAGCCGACAAATATGAATATAAGGCGGGCTCAAGATACATAGATTCACTGGGCAAATTACTGAATGATGCAGAATGCATCAAGAAAAGATGGAAGGAATACACAGAGTCATTGTACCAAAAGGAAATGGTTAATGTTCAACCATTTCAAGAGAT